GAGAAGGAGAACCCATCGAGGAGGAGAAGAAGGAGGATGAGAAGGAAGAGGAAAGGACGAGGACGGGACGGTAATGAGGCGGAGGAGGACTCATCGACTGCGTATTAGGATTCCTGGCACGAAGAGGAGGACTCATCGACGAATTTGTATGGATCCCCGCAAGCCTGACCACCGCAGCAAACCTGGCTCGAAGGCGGGCCGGCACCTGACGTGGAATTGATGGGACAGAACATCAAATTCTTACTAGGTGGGCTGGGGCCTGCAAGAAACAAGATCATGGAGCCCTCCTCGGCAATTCTGGCGGCAGACCCTGTATTGACAAAATGGTGACGTCTGACTGATACTTTTAATTAGGGCCTGTCCCTCTACAGGGGGAATATTCAAAAGTCCGGGGACTACTGTTTGAATATGGTTTGGCCATTTTGGAATATTTTTGAGTATTTTGTATTGTTGTAGAAAATCCCCCTGTAGGGGGACAGGCCCGACTTAATATAATAGTTTTGACAGCGGCCTTCTGGAACGGCGGCCTGCTCCGCAGGCCTTCTGGGACCCACTGGGGAAACCAGCAAATGCCGCCACCGCTAACCTCGGTAAGCCATTAAGACCCCCCCTCGGGGTTATCGTTAGCACCGCACCGCAATAAATAATTCTTGGGGGCTGTGTTCGCGGAACGATATCTTCAGCACCGCGCCAAAGAAAGGAAACTAACTGATCCCCGCGCCTTGGCTCGGATAGTATCCCAATGGGAATCTGTAGGATTCCTAGATAGGCCTCCCCCATAGGACTGCCCCACAGCAGACTCGTCTGCGTTCAGAGCAGTTTCTGAGGATGTCTCAGGCGAGGCGCTTGTTTCAGAACCACACGGAGGCCAGATTGCGAATGTTTCAGGCGATTTGCTTATTTCGGCGGGCAGACTCGTCTGCGTTCAAAGCAGGTTGCGAGGTGCCAGGGTAACGCTTCCAGGGTGCTGGAGCGTTATACTTTCGCCGGAGAGGGTGGGGGCTTTCTTTATTGCCTCTCAGGGTTACTCACCCGACCTCTTCCGGGGTGCACTCTGACCAGAATCTTAAAGCGAATCATTCGGAGGCGACGGGGGCCTCCCGGGATACCCCAAAGAGGGGAACACGAGGGAAGGGTAGCAGTTTGGGTACCTGTACCTCCTCTGGCCTACCCTACTTCGCGCCCCGCGTTGCTCGAGGGGCACGGCGGGGTTCCCGTCGAGCTCCTGCGCGTGCCCTCCTCCGCACGGACGGCTCCGAGGGCACCGGCAACGAGGCGCGACGCGCGGTGACACTCGCGCCCTGGCGGGCTCACCCAGACTCCACCCTGCTTGAAGGATGCGGCCGCTGGGAGGCCTTCGTGGGAACGACTGGAGCAAAACAGGATGGATCACAAGGCCACTGCCTCCTCCTCCTCCTCCTCTTTCTCCTCATTCTCCTCATTCTCCTCCTCCTCCTCCGCCTCCTCCTCCTCCTCTTCCTCTTCCTCCACCTCCCCCTCTCCTTCCTCCTTCCTCCTCCTCCTCCTCCTCCTCCTCCTCCTCCTCCTCCTCCTCCTCCTCCTCCTCCTCACTCCACCGCACGCCGCATGTAAGGCGGCGCCAGGACCATGGGCCCAAGACGGCTGCCCGTTTGTCCGCGCCCCCAGCGCCCAGGAGCCCGAGGACGACCTCGGGCGGGCGCGCAGCCATGGCTCTGGGAGGCGTCCCAGCGACGGCTGCCGCATGCCAGGAGCGGGAGCCCTACGGGGCATACCCCTGGTAGCGGATCAGCGTCGACTGGGCGCCTCGACGCGACAGTTGACGGCTTCGGTGCCAAGCAGTTGCGTCGGGCGGGCTTCGATTTCACGCAGCTGGGCTTGGGTACCTCTCAGCTGCGCCAGGCGGGCTTCGTCTTCAAGCAGCTAGTCGAGGCGGGCGTCGATGCCAAGCAGGTGGTCGAGGCGGGCTTCGGCGCCAAGCAGCTGCGCCAGGCGGGTTTCGATTACACGCAGCTAGTCGAGGAGGGCTTCGGTGCCAAGCAGCTGCGTCGGGCGGTCGGGGCGGGTTCCGATGCCAAGCAGCTGCGCCAGTCAGGCTCCGATGTCACGCAGTTGGTCGAGGTGGGCTTCGGCGCCAAACAGCTGGTCGAGACGGGCTTCGGCTTCACGCAGCTGGTCGAGGCGGGCTTCGATGCCAAGCAGCCGCGTCAGGCGGGCTTCGACGCCGAGCAGCTGCGCCAGGCGGGCTTCGATTTCGCACAGCTGGTCGAGGCGGGCTTCGGTGCCATACAATTGAGCCAGAAGGGCTTCTATGCCAAGCAGCTGGTCGAGGAGGGCTTCGATTTCACGCATCTGGTCGAGGCGGGCTTCGGTGCCAAGCAGCTGAGCCAGGAGGCCAAGCAGGTGGTCGTGGCGGACTGCGGTGCCAGGCAGCTGAGCCAGGCGGGTCCCGACCTCACGCAGCTGGTCGTGGCGGGCTTCGGTGCCAAGCAGCTGCGTCGGGCGGATTTCACCCAGTTTGTCGAAGCGGGCTTCGATACCAAGCAGCTGCACCAAGCGGGCTTCGATTCCACGCAGGTCGAGGCGGGCTGCGATGCCAAGCAGCTGCGCCGGTCTGGCTGCGATGTCACGCAGTTGGTCGAGGCGGGCTTCGGTGCAAAGCAGCTGGTCGAGGTGGGCTTCGGTTTCACACAGCTGGTCGAGGCTGGCTTAGATGCCAAGCAGCCGCGTCAGGCGGGCTTCGATGCAGAGCAGCTGCGCCAGGCGGGCTTCGATTTCACACAGCTGGTCGAGGCGGGCTTCGGTGCCATACAGCTGCGCCAGGAGGGCTTCTATGCCAAGCAGCTGGTCGAGGAGGACTTAGATGTCACGCATCTGGTCGTGGCGGGCTTCAGCGCCAAGCAGCGCTGCGCCAGGCGGGCTTCGATTCCCTACAGCTGGTTGTGACGGACTTCGCGGAAGCAGATCGTCGCCCAGCTGTCGGCGAGACAGCGTGGGGAAGAGATGTGGTAGCCATGTCGACCAGGATCTGGTTAGAGAGCGGACTGAGTGGTGAAGCATTGCACGAGTGTTCGGTGCGCATCGGCGTGTGCTCGAGCGTTGCACGCGTACCCAGCGGCGGTTCCGCACCCTGGAGGGGTTTCGAGGTTCCGCCGCTGCGTCGTTCGCGCGTTCGTTCGAACTGTAATTCGAAGTGGAGCTGCTAGACTTAGCAGCAGATGAAGGAGTTTATAGCTGTAGGGGACCAGGTCTTGTCGGAGTGCAGCGTCTGTGGAGGAGCCTGCAGCCCCATGACTCAGTAACAGAGTTTATAGTTGTAGGGGACCAGGCTCAGTCGGAGTGCTGCGTCTGTGGAGGAGCCTGCAGCCCCATGACTCAGCGCAGGGCAGACTCTGGAGTCCGCCACCGCCCTGGAGTGCCGTCGCCCTCGGAGCGCGCGGGGCAGGAGGCACCAGCTCTTCGGCATGCCCGTGATGCGTTGCTGGTCTGGCCGCCCCTCCCCCTTCGCCCTCCCTCTCCCCCTCCGCCCCCCGCCGTCTCCCCTCCCTCCTGTGGCAGTGCGATTCTAGATAAGGCCCCTGCACCCCCCGCTGGCGAAACTCGCAGGCGCTGCTGCGAGGAGAGCGGCGGGCACTCTCGACTACGTCGTATTTGAAACAGCTTGAAACAACCGCACGCCCCATGTCCCATGTCCCGAGCCTGTGTCAGTGTCATCAGCTCGTCGTTGTCGTTGTCGTGCTGGTGGTGGTGGTCGTCGTGGTCGTCGTCGTCGTCGCACTCGTTGGTCGGTGGCACCGGCCGTGAGGATTTCGCAACAAGACAGATCAAGGGGCCACCGAGCCGAGTCTAGGACTGAGCGGGATCATGCGGGATTCCGACTGAGGATCTGCCAGCGCGCGCCGATGCCAGACTCAACATCGATCTGCAACCTGACCCGCTCAAGCTCCTCGGGGATTTACTGACCCGGGTCAAGGCAGACCCAGGTCAGTCGGGCCTTGCAGGACCCTGCGAGATCCTGCAGGACCCTGCACCCAGGCCCGGATCAATGCGCCCCTGGCCCTGCAGGATCCTGCAAGATCTGGCGCTCTGGCTAACCCCCGTTTGCATTGATCCCCGTCTCTTGAGCCCCGAGCTCCCCCACTCTTCTGTCCGCCGGCGGCGCGCGGGTCTGGGCTTAGGTCGGGCCTGTCCCCCTACAGGGTTTTTTGCGCGAAATATCAAACATACCCCAAAAATGCCCCCAACGGGCCAAAAAATAGTCAACAAATAGTCCCCAGACTATTTTTAAATTATTTTTAGATTCTTTTGTGTTTTTTAATATATATATATATATATATATATATATGTATGTATAGAATGTATAGATATATATATTTCGTCGAAAATCCCCCTGTATGGGGACACGAACCACATAAGTCTGGGCCGCCGATGAGCCGAAGGCCAACGGGGGGGCGGGCCCCCCCCCCCCGTGACGTGCCAGCGTGCGCAGGGAGGCGATCACGGGAGGCTGCCGCCCCTCGGGCCGCAGGAGACGAAAGCGGGGGGCGTCCCAAGAGGGGGGTGCGCTTAAGTCGGGCCTGTCCCCCTGCAGCGGGATTCTCGGCGGGAAACAAATACTTCAAACATATGCAAAAAACAAAAAACAGTTTGCGGACAATGTTTGGTGTATGTTCTCACCGTTTTGGGGTATTTTTGGTGTATCTTTTTAACTTGTCGTCGAAAATCCCCCTGTAGGGGGACACGCCCGACATAAGGGCGCGCTGATCATGGCACGAGGCACGGTCGCGGCCCAGGGAGAGGGAACACGAGATCCGGGGAGATCCCATGGCCCTGGCCATGACGCCCGCACACCCTGGGTCATCGCCCTCCTCGATCTCGGAGACGGAACGGCCGCCCCCGAGCTCGGGAGCCGACTGCATTCGAGGTGGAGTCCCTGGACGCCTTGCCCATCCCCCCCCCCTCTCCCCAGACATCCGGCTTCGTGGCTTGTTCATAACGTGACCCCCGAGACGACTGGACCCTTTCCCAGACAAGGGCTGTTCATCTGAAGTCGTCGCTTGATGGTCCAGCGGGTCCAGGAAGGGCCCCGCCACAGGCTTGTACCGGCCACAAGTCGTCTGTCGTGATATTTCTCACGACGTGGAGAGGTCAGGATCGATCCTTGCCCTTCCTTCCCCGATCCAGGATAATTGAAAGACGAATGTGGCATTCTACAACAGGTATTGGCGCGAGAGCTCGGGGGAGAAAGCCAGAGCCGTGAGCCGATTTCCAATTCAAGCCATGTGCCCTGGTTGCTCCGACGAGAAGACAAGACATGCACGCGACGAGGACTGTGGTACCATTGGGTACTCGGGGACTGTGCTGACAGAGGACACAAAAGTGACGCGAGTGGCCGGCCGCAGAGACGCTTGTCCCGCTCGCCCGGACCCGACCGAGGAAGAGAAGGTCAGCGAGCCCTCGTGGAGGGAGGAGCTCCCTGGTCGGCGGCGCGCCTGCCCCGGACAGAGCTCGTTGGCCGAGGCCCAGGGCCCCCGTGAATCAAATGGAGAGGGCGAGGAGCAGGAAAGGGAGGCAGACGACCGGAGCATCGCAGACGAACGAGCTCGTTCGAGCTAACGAGCTCGTTCTGCTGACCCCCGTCTTCACCTTCGGGGAGGAGGCTCCCCCTCCCCCTTCCCCCCTCCCCCTGGGTCTAGAGCCCTCCCCAGCGACGCGTCAGAGGGCGTTTTGGCCCCAGATGGCCTCAAGAGGGCCCCAGAGAGCCCAGGATGGCCTCTAAGATCGCTCGAGATGTACCAGGATGGTTCAAGATAGCCCCAATCTGCCTCCAAGAGCCCTCAAGATCGCCCCAGAACGGACCCGAATGCCCTCCGAGCCTCCCAGAGGGCCTCCAAGATGCCGAAATCATCCAGAGTGAAAACCAACCCTTGTCACTGTTTTGTGCCTCCTCGCCTGTTCGCTTCCGATGAGCTCTTGGGGCCTCAAGACGGCCCAACAGGGACCCAAGAGGGCCCCAAGAAGGGCCCATGGCCCTAAGACGGCTGCAAGAGCGACCAAGAGCGCACAAGGAGGCATGACAAAGGCACACTTGACCGATGGCTGCAAGATGACCCCAAGAGGGCCCCCAAAGCCTGCTAGAGGACCCCAAGCAGGGCTCCACGAGATTCCAAGGATGGCCCAAGAGGCCGCCACGACGGACCCAAGAGCGCCGCACGATGACCCCAAGAGGACTCCAAGACGCTCCCAGAGCGACGCACGCACGGCGAGCAACGACAAGCAACTGCGAGGGCTGCCCCAGGCACGCACGGCGTGATACAGGCACCGCCGGCGACGACACGCAATCACTCCACCAAGACAGCCAAGAGGAGCCGCGAAGCGCACGCGACGACGCAGATGCGGTTCGCTGCCCAGCCGCAGCATGCTGCCACGCCCCCTCGATCATGGCATCTCGCCAGGTGTCTGTTCTCGGATGGGCCTGTGGGGATCTGCAACGCGTCAAGAGTCTGGCCGACTGTGCAGCCCGTTGTGGGCGCCGAGGCCATCAAACCACGGCCCGCGACGAAAGCTGTCCATAGCGATGGGGTCGAGAGCCGCGGGGACCCACCTCGTAGAAGAACCACGACGTCGGGGGCTTGAGGACGAGAGGCACGCACTGGCGCGCGCAGCAGCAGGACAGCGCCGCGCAGGCGTAGAAGCACAGAGGGAATTGCGGCTCGACCGCCCAGACGAAAACTTGCCCTTGCCGCGACTCGCCTCGGGCACAATTCGGCCTCAGAAGCGTCAGCTGGGCGGTAGGAGACGCGTGCTCCTCCTTTAATCTCGAACCCCTCAGCTCGCCTCCACCCCTGCCCTGGGAGGGGCTCGACGTATGCACCACGTCATTTGGCGTTGGGCGGCCGATGAGCTCGCTGTGTAGACGCCCCAGCTTCCCAACCTGTGTGAGACTGGAGCCTCTTTAGACCGAAATCCTTCGCCGAGTTCCTTGGCTCCTTGACCAAACCAACGACGTGGTGTATACATCGAGCTCCCCCGATGCCCCCACGTGCCCCAGTCCTCCGCACCACTACAGTTATGTACATCCGACAAAATAGAATTCTGAGAATTGAGCAGCATTGCGCCAGAAATGTGTATGGCGCGGCCAAGAATCAAGAACGCGCAGACCCTCCTACATCAGCGTCGCCAACAGTTCACGGAGGAAGGCGTCGGGCGCTCGTGCCGCCTGCGGGCAGAAGCCCAGGCCTATGGCCAGCCGCTCCACGTCCTTGGGGGGAAAACCTGGCGATATCGATAGCGCCACTGCCGGTGTGCCTTCTGACCCGGGTCAATCCAAACCCGGGTCACTCAGGCCTTGCAGAATCTTGCAAATCCTGCAAGATCTTGCACCCAAACCCAGGTCAATGCGAAGGATCCTGCAAAATCCTGCAGGATCCTGCACCCATACCCGGGTTAGAGCGAGCCTGTCCCTGCAAGATCCTGCAAGATCCAGCGCTCTGGCTGACCCCCGTCTGCATTGACCCCCGTCTCAAGGCTCCCGACACTGCCTGTGTGCCTTCTGACCGGCATTTTTCGAGGCGAGCCCAGCCGTGACGACGAGGGCTTCCCAGGAGGCCCGAGAAGCTAAAACGAGGCAGACGTAGCAGTATCGTCGGCCACGCGCAGAGGGGGGTAGGGCGAGGGGGGAAGGACCTTAGAAGCACACCTGCTTCTTCGAAATCGCAGGCCTTCTCTATACATGTAAGGCCGGCGCCTTCCAAGCAGCAACCCCCTTCTAAGAAGCCTTCCCCCCTTCCCCTACCCCCCTCTTCGCGCCGCCAAGATTGGCAGGATCAGTCAGCATCGAATCGAGAAATCGGATCGGATCGGAATGAGCGTCGGACAGGACCGCCTCGGCGAGGAGACGAAAACGAATAGGAGCAGGCCATATGATGGACTGCACCAGCATGCACAACAGCGCCCTGCAAGCATCGGGCCGCATCGGATTGCTGGGCCATCGAAATCGAATCGGATCGAACCAACCTAAATCGAGACTGGATATGATTGCTGTTAGAGGACCCCGAACCCTTTGGGATCGGACCTACGTGAAGAGGCCCAAGACATCAGGGACAAGGGGTCTGCGCAGCAGATGCATCGAACCAAACCAACCACAAATGGATAACCCTTGGTGCACGGTGCACAGACGGGGATCTAAGCGAGGCTGCGTCAGCATTGTGCTACCAGGGTTCGGGGATCTTGCATGCCCGACAGGAACCGGATCGAACGGATCGAGAGGGGCACCGTCATTATCATCAAGTCGGGCGTGTCCCCCTACAGGAGGATTTTCGACGAAACATGAAGAATACCCCAGAAATACCAAAAAAATAATCCAAAAATAGTATGGCGACTATTTTTTGAGAATTTCTTTACCCTTTTGGGGCATTTGTGGGGTTTTTAGTTCTCGCGGGAAATTCCCCCTGTAGGGGGACACGCCCGACATGACATGCTCAGCACCCTCTCCTCCTCCGAGGTCCTGGGGCGGGCCTCCCACCTCGGCGAGCCTCTGGGCCGCGCCCTCGCCGTGCACCAACTGCGGGTCGCCCAGCAGGGCCATGGCCAGGTGCTCGTCGGGGGCTGCCCGATGGTGCCCCTGGCCCACAGCTGCCCCCAGCTCTGCCGCTCAATGTTGGAGCCCCTGGGGCCCTCCTCCTCCTCCTCCTCCTCCTCCTCCTCCTCTGGGCCTCGTGAGTGGTGCTCTGGAGGCCGTGGGGGCCCCCTTGGAGACCTGTGGGCGCCTCGGGCCAGAGGCACTTCTGGCAGCACCCGAGCTCAGTGTCCTCGGACAGGTAGGGGTTCCCCCTTCGCCTCCGGAGCGCGACGTTGTGCAGCCCTTCGTGGCAGACCAGCGAAGTCAGCGCCTCGAGACCGAGAGCTGTGATCTACCCAGACCTCCCGGCGGCTCAGGAAAAATGCGCTGGAGGTTTCGCGCAAGTTTAGCTCTCCATAGGCCGTCTCTGAGCCCCGGCGCCTTCAAAAGCCGAAACTGCTCCTGGGGACGGGGGGTCCCCGAAAAACCTTGTCGCTGGAAGTCTGGGCAAACATGCCCCACGGTCACTGGTGCCGGGTGACGCTGGTGTCCTCCATCCCGGCGCACACACGCCCCCTGACCACCAGAGGCCTACACTGGGGCGCTCGCGTCCACATCCCGCTGTATACTTTTGGGCCGACCGCTGGGGCGGCATTCGGGAATGTCCCCCTGGTGCGATACATTTCTCCTGGGTTGGATGCGATGTTGCCTGGCTGACGGATCGGAACGATGAAAAGTGAGCGCCGAAAGACTTCCCACAACACACTTAAGAATGAATATCTCGTGATAGCTATGAGATGCACGCGATCCGCCTTGCTGGGGCTGACGTACGCACGTGTTCGAGAACACCAGCTGGGGATAGCTCAACGCGGGGACTGATTCAATGTGTGTGAATGTTGAATCAACTTCGCCTGAATGTTGGACACGAGTTGTACTCGTACTGCCGCAAGCCATCTTTGCTGTGGCATGCTTACCCACGCATTGCTCACTGTTAGATCGGTAAACAATGTGTTCGATACGTCTCGACAGGGGCACGCGCTGCTCTGGGGGTGCACGCGCACACGAGCGAAGAAATTGGCCGACCCCATGGGCCACGGGCACACCATGCTCGTGTGTTGTGAATGGAACATTCACATGGGTGTTCATTGTGTACCTCCGTGCGAACTTTATGTCAGAAAATCGAATGTCCCCCTGTCACGCTTCCACTCCATGCTTCAGTGTGGCATTGGCAGTACATGGGGCACCCTGGAATGATGTGTGCTACAGTGGCTTGGTCAAACCTTCATGTTTTTTTGCCTTGGGTATGTGAGCTCAGACTTCGCTATGGTTCAGAGACGAACGCAATACAATACCAATGCGAAGTGACTCTACGAAAGCCAAGGCTTGAATATTCTCAAGTGTCTCCACCATGTGCCCCATGTGGGTCGAGTATGTACTAACCACCCCAGTGGTTTCACAATGTCATCAACGCACCTCTAATGTGATAGCCGAGATCGGACATCTGAACTGCATTTACACTGAATAACATTCGACCCGACATGTCGGCATTCTGGTGCCGATGTATCATGCCAACGATGCTGTCGCAGCAAACCAAATCTTCGCCGCAGTAATGGGCAATTGCTGGTCTAAGTGTGCAACCTGGGTGGGGTTTGAGAGATTTGAAGTACACTGTGCGTGTGGCATCTTAGTAACACAAGGTTCTTCTGGCTTGCTCCGGTACTTACGCTTGTCGAACTCATGGGCTGGCTCCGCGCTCCTCATGCACAAGGCATGCCTTATGATGTAGTAGGGCAACACCGCGCATAACATGTTTGAATTGGGTATTGGGTATGGCAGCCTCTGAAGATGTGGAGCCAATGTATCAGCCAAGGTTCAGAGGAGCCTCTTTTTTAAGAAGCCGCTAGAAGCCTCCCTCAGACGCCGTTGCGAAACAACTACGAGTCTGGCCTCTAAAGAGCCTCTCGTGGGCCGTTATCCCCCACTTGCCAGGGGTGAGAAGGCGTGTGAGATGATTGGCTGCCCCCCTCCCCCCTTCCCCCACCCCCAAGCTATAACATATCTTGTTTGAGAGGAGGGGATATCCAGGCTCGCCAGCGCACCTCCGGAGACTCCGGAGCTTCCACATCTGCATTCCGTGGCTTCGAAGACGTTCCAAGACGGCCCAGAATCGCTGAGCGATTATCATAAGGCACATAAGATGACTCGAAAAAGCCCCAAGACGCCTTCGAGACGCCCCAAGAGCTTGCCCAAGAGGGCCCCGAGAGGCACAAATCAATCGTTTCCACCAGGTGTTCGAAGGATTTGGGCGTTCTCGCCCTTTCTGGTTTCCGACGCTCCAAGACCGCCCAAGAGGCCCCCAAGAGGCATCCAAGACGGCCCAAGAGGCGCCCAAGACAGCCTAAGAGGGCCCGAAGGCGGCCACAAAGGCGTTTCAAGACGGTCGCGAAGCGCTGAACGATTGGCCCAAGCCGCTCACGATCGCTCCAATACGCCTTCGAGACGCCCCACGAGACTTCCCAAGAGGGCCTCGAGAGGGAAACATCGAGGGGCGTTTGAAGAATTTGCCTTTTCTGTGTTCAGACGGTCCAGGACGGACAAGAGGCCCCCAAGAGGCCCCCAGGACAGCTCAAGAGGCCTCCAAGAGGGCTCCAAACCGGCCAGAGCGCCCCAAGACGGTCGAAAAGAGCGCCCAAGACGGCCAAAGAGGCCCCAAGACGGCCCCGGAAAGGGACCGCCCAAGACAGGGAACACGGACCGAACATCCGAGCCTTCGGCCCAGGAGGCACGAAGAGGCCTTCCAGACGCCCCAAGAGCCTTCCCCAGAGGGCCCCGAAATGTACAAATCATTGTTTTCTTGCGGTTTTTGTCTTTCTAGGGTTCTCGTCTTCGCGAGCTTCCAGCGCTCCAAGACGGCCCGTGAAGCCTTGTAGGCCGCCCCAACATTGCCCAAGCGGCCCCTACAACGACGTCCCAAGGACGGCCAAAGAGGGTTCAAAGACGGCCACAATGGAGCCAAGACAGCCAAAGATCGCCCCAAGAGGGCCGCGAGAGAGGCAACGAGGAAGAATCCGAACCGAACATACTATCTTTCCCCCCCAAGGGGCCCCCCCAAGGCCTCAACAAGCCCCCAAGCGGCCCAAAAGAAGCCCCAATAAGCGCCAAGAGGCCCCCAATGCCAGAAAGAGGCCCCAACAGGCCCCCAGACGCTTCAAAACTGCCTCCAAGAGGCTCCGCCAGGCCCCCAAACAGCGCCCAAGACGCCCACACGAGTCCGCAAAGAGTACACACGAAACCCATGACGACACCGTGGACTCCCCGCCTCTGCTGCGGGTCGGCGGAATGGCGTAAGCCTCTCGAGTAAGGAACCTCTCCGAAGTTACCCCAAGACGTTTTCGAGGTTTCGCGCGTGCCTGGACAGCTGGACAGGACGATGGGGGATAACACATCTCACATCTGGCTTGTCCATGGTCCTTTTGCAAGCCGACCTGACGCCGAGCCGCCCGAGAGGCTTGGGGCACAAACGGTGCCATCGATGGCTCGTTCCTCCCCTTCTTCCCTCCGCATCCCCTCTTCTCCCCCCCTGGGGCATCCCCCCTAATCATCTGGCGTCCTTGCCCACGCCTGCGTTCTTCCTGGTTTTTGGCCGGGTCGGCGGGGCTGGAGAGGTGGAGTTTCGGACATGTCCAGAAGTCCGAGGTATGGCGCAGGGTCGTGGGGTCTCAACGGAGAGTGATCAACCTGGCTGGCGTGTGCACTTGATTGAAGCCCCCTGCGGCCACCCTTTGGCCGAGATCCCCGCCCCAGAGGCCGTAGGGACCGTCCGCCCCAGCCTTGACTACACTGCTTACGGAGTGGCACTGGCTGGCCTTGAGCGTGACCTTCTTGGTGCCGCAAACGAAGATCTCACTCGAGAAATTGGTGTCGCCTGAGCTCATCGCCAGGCATTCGTCCCAGGAGTCTATATGTTTCTTCATGTCGAAGCTTGCGTTCCGCACCCTCTCGCAGGCCCGATCCCAGTCAAAGCGCAGGCTCCGCTCTCGCGAGGCGAGCAGGAATGCTTTCACGACGACGCTTCTGTCGCCAAGGGCCTCCTCGCCCCGGTAGAACCGCAATACTTTCTCCTTCGCCTTTTCCAGCATGGCCTTCGTGGGCAGATGCGTGGCTCTGCCCGGGACTTTCACCTTCAAGATGGGCTTCATCCACCTGCGCATCAACCTCCGGACCTTGCCAGGCGTCTGCGACGGCAGGAGCTCTGCCAAAGCCAAAGCGACGTTGTCGTCGTCAAGGACGATCGCCGTCTCCGTGATGGACTTCCTGGCGTCTCGTGCTTTCGCCTCGCCCCCGCTGCGCTTCGCAGCCGGGCATGACTTGCTCTTGCTGGACGGCTGCCTCCTGGAGGACGAAGGCCTGGGCGCAGGCTGGCGCTTCCCCATTGCCGGGGGAAGCGCAGGGGGGGCACAAATAGTTGCTGCCAGCGCGGCAGCCTGGGCCAAAATGGCTTTGTAACCCCTGCTGCGGGATGATGAATTCGACCCCGCATCGGCCGACCCCCCCTCCCCCGCTGTGACCCACCGGCCCCTGACTGCAATCCCGACTGGCTCCCCAATGGTGACGTAAAGGCCCTCCCCAGACGAGGAACAGGCAAGACGCCCACGTATTCATACCATGCGGGCAACTCGGAAGAATACCTCCACAATGCACATATGCATGTTTTGTAATAAACGCACGCGCGTGCGTTGTGTGTGAATGATCACTTCAAAGGTACAACATCTGAACACACATTGCCATCCTTAGCCAAGCCAGGCAAGAACGGACCAAACTGGAGAGAGACGTTGAGGTGCACACATAGCTGCAAATTCCTCCTTCTACTCCTTCACCAGATCCTTTGCCTGCAGATCCTCTTTCCTCTCACTCCCCCTCCGCCCAAACATTCTCCTCCCCGTCTCCCCCTTCCCCCCCCTTCTCCTCTGCCTCCTACCCTCCTCATTATCCTCATCCTGGTCTTCCTTCTTCCCATCTTCCTCTGCCTTGCTCCCTCCAGAAAGGGTAGACAAACATATTATGAAGTGAAAGAGATATCGGGATGTTGGTGGCAGCTTCCGCCAACTGCTCCTGTTCGTCTTCCTGCTCCCTCGTTCTCCTTCTCCTCCTCCTCTTCCTCCCCGTCCTCCTTCTCATCTCACCTCCTCCTCCTCCTCCTCCAGCTCCAACGCATCATCATCCGGATCCTCCTTGTCCTGCTTCTCCGCCTCCTCCTCCGCGGAGGATGGAGACAATGCCCTCGGGGGCCGCCAACAAGACACCAAGAGACCAGCCAAGAAGGCCTGGACTTGTAAAAAAAGACACGCGGTTCCATGTAAGGACAAACATGTCAGATACCTCCCTGGGCGACCTGGGCACGTGACAACAAACATTTCGCTTGAGACACCCTTCGAATTCTGGTACCCCACGTACCGCTACTCTCTGGCCCTCTCCTGGGGCGCGTTCTGACCAGGATTGCGAGGCGAATCCATCGGTGGCGACGAGAGCCTCCGAGAAGACCCACGAGGGCGAAACCGAGGGAAGGTTAGAGGTATGGGTACCTCCTCCTCCGAGGGGTGGGACGAGACCACGGCTCTTGGAGGATCCACATGTTTCCACACTCACCTGCGCTTCTGGTCCTGGCAGGTCCCCCAGAGGCCTCGGGAATGGCATCGAGCGACGCGAGCACAGCTTGCAGATGCTCGTCTCCTGACCGTAGCTCCTCGAACATTTAATGCGCGAGGAACGGTATAACACAAGCTCTTGCGACGTCGGGGACGCCTGTCCCTGGGCGGCTTGAAAATTCATACCCCTACGGTGGCACGTCAAAATATCAACTTTCCAGCCGCCCTGGGACAGGCGCCCCAAGTGACGGAAACCATAGTTTTATACGGTCCTTATCCTGCTAACACATGTTTTCCACAACGGCCTCCACCCTGGATCGACAAAGGGGGGCAGGCTCCTATTCACCTGGTCACCTTGTCCCGAACCAGCCTTGAACTCCAGGACTGCTCGGAACCGATGATCCACGCTCGTTCCCTCAACATTGCATCTTCTGGGGACCTTGTCTGTCCCATCGCTCTGCTATGCGAACCTCTAGCCGAACCGAATCCAATCGATCGCGTCGAATTCGTGTCTACTCCTCGTCGAACCCACGCCGAAAATCCATGTCGAACCCGTGTCAAACCCACGCCAGATGCAAGGGAAGACCGCCATTCACTGCAAAGGCAAGGCCTCCCGAAGCTGAAACGTCTCTCCCACTGTCTGCCATCCAGTTCTCTCCCTGGGTGCTCCAAGCATCCCGCCGCCGTGACTCGGTTCGCAGCGTGGCTCCCCAGAGGTCTGGACCCCTGCCTGGATCGGGTCGGGCGAAAGGGGGGGATAGCAAAGGGGGGGTTTGAGAATCAGCTCACGTAGCTGATTTTCCAGGCGCCTCCCGGCGCCGGGAGGCGCCCATGTATCGAGGAATGAGCCCCTCGGTGGGGCCAAAACCAGCTGCATGCAGCAGATTTCGTAACCCCCCCTCTCCCAATCCCCCCCTTTCGCCCGGCCCGCCTGGAGACCAGACTCTCATCCCACGTCGTCTTGCGACGGGGCCCTGCCCGGGCCTCCACAGGCCGAAGATGGGCCACAGACCTGCCGTCGTGCCCCCTCCACGGCGTGGGGACGTCTGGGGCCCGCGGGCCCGCTGGGCCGCCGCCGCCCGCGAGTCAGGCCCCCGGGTCGGGTGTTGCTAGAGGTGCCCCTGGCCCAAGGTACCCCCAGGATTTTCAAGGAGGCCACCACGGCCTCCAGAGCACCCCTCACGAGGTCCAGAGGGTCCCCGGAGCTCCAAAATTGAGCGAAAAGCTGGGGGCACCTTGGGCCAGGGGCACCCTTAGCAACCTCCGACCCCGAGGCTTCGCGGAGGACTGGGCCGGACCGAGCCACCACGCGCGAGGAGCTGTCACGGCGGCGAGATCCGGCCACGGCGGGAAGGAGGGCCTGGTCATACAGCAACTCGCTGACCAGGCCCCGCTACGCCCAGCCCTGCAGGGCTGAGCCGAGGCTCGCCCGCTCCCTCCAGATCGTCCAACTTGGTCCCCCTCACTCTAGTCCCTTCCCCTGCCTCATCCTTGGACTCCACGGCCCACGGAAGCACGCTTCGGCCCACCAGCCCGCTGGACTGGAACACGCGTGCTTGCCGCAGGCTGTGTGCGAGGAAGCTTACGCGCCAGCGCTCGCGGCGAGAGGAGAAGGCTGAGAAGGGAGCGGGATGGAGGAGCCAGGATGAGACTGGTCAAGCCGAGTTAAGCCCCGCTCTCCTGAGTTGGATCGTTGCCGAAGGTAAAGAAGTTCTTGAAGCGCGACTGAGAGCCGTTCTGTCGTTCCTATCCGACCATTTGCTGATGTCATGACCCTCTTGTGAGTATCACTCCTGGACGCAGGTCTCAACGACCACGGGCCTCCGCGTGTCAACGTGCTACCCGACCGGACCTCAAACGTGTAGCGCACGGCGGGCCTCTGCGTAGCTAAGTGCTCTCTGGGACGCCTACTCTCGTTCCCGTACTCACCGCACTACCATCCCCCATGCTGTCATATTAGGAACCTCCTTCGAACACTCCTTTCGGAATTCACAATCCAATCTGCCTGACACATCTCGGGAGCGCAATCCAGCTCGTGCAGTTAGTGGTGGCAAAAGACCCTGTCACAAACAAGTACTTCACGACACCTGCGCGCGATGTGGTAGACCGTGTGTAAGTGTGCAGGATATACGCAGCTGCATGCACACAGCGCCTCACACCACGTGCTTGCTTTGAGAGGGCAGAAGCGCATCACAGTCCTCACGATGCGGAACTCCACTGCTGCTAGCACCTGAGCGCAGCGCATGCAGCAGGCAGCCCGACCACGCCGATGCCCCGTGATAGTCGAACTTCTGAGCAAACGGAACTCCCCGCGGCGGGGAGGCCGCCCGAGCGTCCAAGACCGAGATCGGCGGCTAGTCCCCCTCGCCCTCGTCCTCGTCCTCGTCACGTCCTCCTCATGCTCCTGCTGCCTCCCCTGCTTCGTATGCCCCTCCCTGCCCTGCTTTCCGTCAGAGACGAAGAATTCATCAGAGCCAAGACCCCCCCACTGATCTTTTGATCCAGCGGGTCCTGGCTGGAGAAAGGCAAACAGCCCCCCCCCCCAGCAAGGACCCCCACCACCAGGCGGGAGGTGGGGAAACCAAGAGGTATCGATAACTCTCCCAGGGTGCGTTGGTGCGTTCTGACCAGGATTTCCAAACGAATCCAGCGGTGGCGACGAGGGCCTCCCAGAAGGCCCAAAAAGGGCAATCCGGGGGAAGGGTATCGGTCTGGGTACCTTTTCCTACTCCGAAGGCGGGGAGTGAGGGCCCTGGCTGGGGGTGGGGGTGGGTTATGCTGTCCTCAGGAAGGTGATGGGAGGGCGCGGATCGCTGCTAGTATTAAGTCGGGCCTGTCCCCCTAGAGGGGGATTTTCGACGAAAAATAAAAAATACCCCAAACAAAATCCAAAAATTGTCAAAAAAAAGTCTGGGGACTAGATCTTGAGCATTGTTGGACCTTTTCGAAATATATTTTTGGGTACTTGTTTTCGTCGAAAATCCCCCCGTAGGGGGACAGGCCCGACTACAGGTACCCCTACAGGAGGATTTTGCACGAAAAATACAAAATATTCAGAAAATACCCCCCGAATAAGGAAAAATAGTAAAAAAAAATACTCTCCAGGCTATTCTATTCTTATCTATTCTTGAATATTCCTCCTGTCGGGGGACAGGCAAGACTTAATGCTGGCATTCCGAGGAGGGCTCTTTCCTCCACCACCGTGCCGGACCGGCGCCTCACGCGGCGCGCAGCGGGGCGACTGTGAAGTTGTTTGGTGCCGCGCGTGGCGCGGTTGCGCGCAGTGTGGCCAGGGAGCAGCCTTAAGTCGGGCCTGTCCCCCTACAGGAGGGCTTTCGACGAAAAATTAAACATACACCACAAAGATTTAAAAAAATGTCCAAAAATAGTCTGGGGATTATGTTTTCTGTTTTTTTTTTTCAGATTTTTTGGAGTATGTTTGGTGTATGTTATATTTCTCGTCAAAAAAAACCAATGTAGGGAGACACGCCCAACGTAAGAGTAACCTGATCCTCTGCCTGGGTGCAAGCAGGACAAAGCAGCGTCCACAGCGCACAAGCTGCACGGCTCGACGGGCACCGTGATCAGAGCAAGCAACACGAAAGGACCACCACGCGAAGACACCCTCCTACTCAGTAAGATACCTCAGGGCTCGTGATGTAGATAACGAAAGGTTACTGTATGTCCTGCAGTCGCAATCAGGTTAAACTAAACATATGAACAGCACTGCGCTTTCCTCCAAGCTTGATCGAATGCTAGCTACGTGAATGCCTTGCACAGCATCCTGA